TGCTTTCTGTAAAAAGTTCAATAAGTAAAACCCCTTGGCAACTAATCTTAGAGTTTCCCTCAAGGTCAATTATAATTGTAAACCATAACTGATTCATTTCAAGCTGCATCTTGCCACTCCCCCATGCCTCTTCCCAGGAAAACAAACAAGAAACAACATTAGGCTCTACCTGCAGAACTTCAAAAAGCAGATGGGAAAATATTTGGTGGAGATATTTCTTATGTCAGTACAAAAATACAGCATCGCTGAAGCTCAAGAGCTTGAACCAGACTATGGGACTACCACCACCTGAAGCTGTGACAAGCCACAAAATAGAAATCCATAAAGAGCTCAAAGCTCAACTATTTTTAACTGGTACTGAACCAGTGTAACACTGGTCTAAAGACAACTTAAGGGAGTGCTCTTTGCTTTCCATAAAAACTTTTTTTTTTTTTTTAATTTGTTCAGAGAAGCAGCTTCCCCATAAGCCAGGTTTACAAAGTTTCTGTATTCTGTAGAAAGTTCAAGATAGATATTAAAAAAGAAATACTTTGCTTGCTTCAACAAATTCTTCCTCCCTCAGTTTCCAAAATGAATCTTTAGAGTGAGCTAGAACCTGCTGAGTCAAGATGCCTATTTTTACATGCACAAATGTATATATAGGTCGATAAGTACATTATTTTTAAGTGTTATTTGTGGCTTCTCTCCAAACCACACTGTAAAGCTGGGAACAAGCATAGAGCCAAAGCTTTGGTCAGGAAAAAGAGAGCAGAAAAGGACAAAGACATTCCAAAATGAGTTCAAATGAAGCTTTGGAAACATTATGAGAAGTGTTTTCAGGCTGATAGCTTAACTAGGAGAGACTTCTGAACCCTAAACCAAAGCAAATGATATAAACTTCTCTGAAATGTAACCCTTGAAGGTCAGAAACAACACAGGAAGGCAGTCAAGTGACGAGGTCCTCGTTTCACTGCAAAGGTTGAAGATATGATGGAGAACTCAGAGGGTCAGTGGAAGGCAAAAGGTTATCTCAACAAGCATAACAGGTGTTCTGCTGAGAATTTGAAATGGCACAGCTAACCATGTGAAACCATTCTGCTCCAAAAAAAACAAACAAACAAAAAAAACCACACACAAATCAGATACAGCTTCCTATTATTCTTTCAGATATAAACTATCATGAAAACCAAATTTGTTCTGCGTGAAGAAGGACTCAGCCAGCAGGAGACACAGTTTGCATCTGGCAGGAGTAGGAGGCACCACTGAGCCAGCAGTGAGCCTGAAGATGTCCTGCACACTGCTAGAACCATGCATCAGCAGCAGAACAGTGTCCATCTCAGCTCCCGTTCAAAGTGCCCAGCACACCTGAGCATGGACCTGAGGCATAAGAAAACTTCTGAAGGCAGCACAGAGGCATCCTCCAAGCTCTATCAGAGCAGGAATATACACTGACAAGCAAGTGAAAACAAAATGCATTGACATGAGTGATATGTATTTTGTATGCTTAAAAGACTAACATCATTTAAAGGTATTGTTTTCTTTCAATATAAAAGTCTATGATAATCCATGTGGGAGGCCTAGCTTTTAATTAAAGGCACTGCATGAAGTTGGAGAACTTTCTGTTCTGTGTAATTAACCTTGATAAAGTTGTTCTATGAGAACACAGCCATTTCACTTCCAAATAGACAGATGCCTCACATCTACACTACATCATCCATTTACTCTCCTAAATCAGGGTTTATGCTATTAAGTTTAAAATACAACTTTGTGTATGCATATTCAATTTAAAAAAAAAAAAAAAAAAAAAAGGTTTTATCCAGTTGAGGGTAATCCAACTCTTTCCATTTGGTTGAACCCTCCCAGCGAGTTACTTTCAACACTTATACATCCAAATAATTTTTAGATTATAATAGCAGCAGTCACAGGAGTAGAAGTTTGCGTGTCATTATTCTTAATGACTAGGAATTAAATATTTAAGTCCCTAACAAAGTTGCATTACCTTGTCACTGCTAAGACACTAGAAAACTCAATGCCATGTTTAACAGCTGGAATAGTCTCTGAATACAAGCTGGTAATTTGAGAATAGTAATGAAGCCCATCTCACAGTTGCCCTCAAATCAATATTGCAGATTTATTGCCAAAATATGAAGTTAGCACCCTTAGCTGTGCATGCTTAGCAGTAAGTACGTTGTAGTAGAAAGCACATTTGGAGGATAAGGTTGTGGCATCATTTTCTTAAGAATGTTTTCATTTATGTTATGTGTAACTCTTCACAGCATCCTGTGGACAAAGCAGCATTTTCTACTGAAACATTTCATGGCTTCCCCAGGTCACACAGGAAATCTGCAGTGGTGTAGGAAACAGCTCAAATCCCACCTCAGTGCCCCAGCCACATTGCTGTCCATCCTCAGCCATGTTTAATACAACTAAATTACCAATGGCAACAAACTGCAGAATCTGCCTTTCAGATGAGCTGATTTGTACAATGCATCAATCCATAACTTGTCTCCTTCAGACATTTGGATAGATGGGCTAGATGCCCAGCATGTTATAACAACCCCAAAAAGCTTCTGGCTCAGTCTGTAAGCACATCAGCATTAACTTAAATCTACTGCTTTGTATACTACATGAGATATCTTCTTATGCTTTGTGGCCAAATTACACCAATTAAAGAGACACAAATACTGAGCTTACAGTTCACAGCACAAGACTAAAGACAGCCATTAACAAGAAGTGCAGAAAGCTATACTTAGTATTGATTCCTTTAGGGCACTCTGCTCAATCAGCTACCTTTTTCTTTTCTAAGCACAGACTTCTCATGATGTACATTCAAAACCTTCACAAAACGTGATTCAATCATTAAAAATTGGTGTGCACCCACTGATGCTGGAGGGGATTAATGGAGTTCCATTCTTGCAGATATAGCCATGGGTTACAGCAAAGCTACCTTTAACGTAAGCTGCTAGAAAGCAAGACAAAGATCACAGAGAATCCAGCTGTTTGCAGTGCTTACACTTGTTATGGTGTCTCCCATGCCAGGTAAGTACTAGACTAAATCACTCCAAGACATAAAGCCATTCAACAGTAACAATGAAAGACTTCAGTTATTTAGAGCTACAGATGTAACAAGCCAAGGAAAGGTCTAAATACATTCAGAACACCCAGGTTGCATTGGAAGCAGTAATTTATTGAGCCTATCACTATGGCTCAATGTGCAGACAGAAGAAACAAGTCAGGGACTGTATACAGACCACTGAATTGCCAGCATACGCAGGTTGCTGCACGCTAAGATGACCATCTGACAAAAAAACAAGTGATAGATCTATAGTAAAAACATATTTTGTTTCTACTGAGTGAAAAAAGAGAAAGGTGAGATGATTCATTTGTTTAAGTACTCAGGAACAAGTTCAGGGATTAGTACCAAGACACTGCTAGAATCCACAGTTGCTAATTGCACAGATGGCAGAAAGGGACCCAATCCAAGATCCATCCAGGTCAAAGCAACACCTTTTATTGACAATAGCAAGCTTCAGATCAGGCCCAGGGATACCAATGCCAACCTGACTAGCACTGGGTTACCTTCTAAACATGAATCACCAGCAGGAACCAGTCCTTGTGTGACTCTGGCCTACTGGAAATACATGAAAGCAAAAAAAAAGAATTACGCAGAAAACAAATTAGCAAAGGTTACAGATGAGCAAGAGGGCTTGCTTTATCCTTTTATCTGCTTTTCTATATTAACCAACTCTTTGAACAAGTGCTTCTATTAGAAACAGTAGTTTATAAGCAAGAAGCATAAGAGTTTACAAAAGCACAAGTTTAAAAGCAAGAAGAGTTACAGACACCTTTTCAATAGCTCCCTGCTCTGTTTACAGTAACATCTCCCCACATCAGAGACAGAGACCATTTTGCAGCCCTAGAAAAATGAGAGAAGCAAAGAGCAACAGGAGTATTTCACAGGCAGGATCTCATAAATTCATTTACAGTGTAAGCATGCTCTCAGAGTGCATTTTCCCTCTTCAGTGTACCACAAAGTAAAGAAAAAAAAAATGAACAAACGCAGCTAGCTAGTTGGACATAACTGGGGCTAAATCAGAAATTATGGATTTACATCACCAACAATTCCTTCTTTCCTCCTTATTACAAGCAGGGAATAAGAAATGAGAGTTATAACCACCCATATTTGCAGCAGCTGACACGCCCAGTAGCTGCTCCCAGCAATCCATCCCCACGTTTTGCGCAGTCAGGATCCCCACCTCACTGCCAACGAAGCTCTACGCCTGCACATGGCTCAGTGAAGCCATCACATGGACCACGTTCAGTTCCATCATTCACTATCACAAGCACCAGTGGGTGCTGCATGGTATGTTATGAGGGAAATCAAATGGAATGCAAAGGACTTCATACACTAGCCTCTATGGAGGGGGAGGAAGAAGAAAGAGAAAGCCTTAGGGACTGAGGACATCTTCCTTCTCTCCAGTCTTTGTTCATTTAAACAGAACAATCAGAAATCCGGTAGATCTCTTCTAGCAACCCACTCCATCACAACGGAGCGGGGAAGGGGAGGAGGAACAATTTTGACAACTCTTTACAGAAGATGCAGATGTTACTGACAGATGTCATCCTGCATCTTCCCGATCAGCACACGACCACCCCCCCGCAGCACACCACAGTGGCACAGCAGAGCCGTACACCTCTGCCGCCCGGTCCCTCCGGAGGTGCAGCGGGAGTACCTGACCCCGGGCTGCCACGGGGAGCTCTCCCCACCGTGCAGCAGCCCCAGCGGGTACCGAGCCGCTAACCCTCGCCCTGGCATATCTCCCTGCCAGCAGCCAGGCTTCCCGTTTCTACCGGAGATTTCTCATTATCCCTCCCCGCTAGTTATTTCAATGGCTTCTTACACAGAATAACCTGCGGGGTTGCCATATAGAAATAATCTTGGGGGAAAAAAAAATAAAATTAAGCACTGACGCCCATCCCTTACAAGCACTGCTGGAGGAAAGAGACCCCGGCTAACTTACGCGCTCGTGTTTCTCTGCAGCAGCGCCTCTGAGGAAGGCTCCTCGGCTGCAGACGGCGGTGCCGAGTTCCGCAGGACGCGAAGGGGCAGCCCCCGCAGCCCCCGCAGCCCGCCCTGCCTCCCTGCCCCGGGGCGGCACCGTGCAGAGGAGACGAGCAGGAGCCGCAGCGCCGCACCGCCGCTCCCACCCGATCTCGGAGAGGCGGCGTGTGGGTGCGGGCAGAGCGGCACCCGCCGGGCTGCCCCCCGCCCTGTCGAGCCGCGTTGGAGAGCCTGGCGTTTGAGGTTGGGGTGGAGAGCCGCGGCAGTGCCGGTTACGGTGTCGGAGCTGGGAGCGGGCAGAGCGCGGGGCTCCAGCCCTCTGCGGAGCGGCAGGCCGGCTGTAAAGCGGTGCTCGTTCTGCTCAAAATGAGCCCGAGCTGGCTTCGCTGCCGCATTACAACACGTCTGTGTCTACAGCTCTGCCAAATAATGACGGCAGAGGAGCAGAAGACAGAATAAGAATCGAATCTAATTCATTAGATTCAAGCAGGAATGGCAGGGAGAACAAGGGGCAGAACAGAAACAACACCGGGATGTGGATGGAAGTTGCACAGAATCATTAAGGCTGGAAAAGACACCTAAGATCACCTAGTCCACCCCATCCCCTCTAACTGTGTCCCTTAGCACCATATCTCCACATCTCCTGAGGCTGAGCGTTGCCAACCACCACAAAATCACGGGGGTTGGAAGGGAGCTCTGGGGATCACCCAGTCCAACCCCCGGTCAAGCACCTTCCCCACAGCAGGTTGTCACACTGGCAATGCAGAGAGCCCAACCTGCTCCAGCAGTTCCACAGCTCACGTCCATATCTTCACATGCTCTCCTAAGAGATAGCCTTCAGCTATATTAACTGCAAAGAGCACAGGACACAACAGAATTAACCTAAGCCACATTCTTTTTATTTTGGGAATAGGGGTAATTACCACAAAAGGAGGAGGTGAAACTGGAAACATCAGTAGGGTCACTTTAATGCCTCGCTGCCTATTACTCTTTTTCCAAATGAACTTCAGTAAGAACCTTAAAGAGCAAGTCTAATACATGAAATCAGAAGCCTATTTGATCACAAGGATCTAGGTCAGCTCCAGTTCAAGGCCTATTACATCCAAGTCAATGGTTGTTCTACCAATGTAACAGAGCCATGTTCTCACAACCACACATACACAAGTTAGTGGGACTTTTTCAAGTAAATTTGCCACACCATCTGATCCTTCAGATTACAAGCACAGCTTCAGTTCTCCTTTTTGAGCACAAAATAAATCACCAGAACATTGCTACAGGGGAGAACAAAGTGGGTCAGCAAAGTAATGGTCTCTTCTAAACAGAAAGGAACATTCTAAGTCAGCAGCACTAGCATTTATTTTCCAGAGGCGTTTCATAAAATATCATTATAAATAATGTGATTCAAAGATCACCAATATCTCTTCTCATTCTCCTTATACATCAACACTTCAGCACAGAAGGGACAAAGTGAAGCACTAATACAGTGTCACTGCTTTCTCTGTGCATTCAGAGAATTCAAGATGAAGGCCTACAGCTCTGTAACTAAGAAAAAAAGTGGTCTTTAACATGGTTTTAGCATGTATAACCTAACAGTTCAGGCGTGAGGATCTTGAAACCTGACCTGCTTTAGCCACAACTTGATAGTTTTAATAATATTGACCCACATATTAAAAAATATTAGAAAATGGATATTGAGATGCTATGGAAACAGAATGCTGGGGAAAGGGTTAAGGAGAACAGGAAGTAGGAATAAATGCAAAAACAGAAATGCTGTATACATTAGCTCTGGTTTCCAGCACCCAGTCTGTGCTGCCTGGAAGCAGTTCTGCTAAAGCTTTAACAGTGCTAAGTATCCCTCCCACCAAAACTGTAAGTGAGGTAAAGATTTATGCTGGAATTTATACTTTCTAAACACACATTATTTCTATCCCACTCCCCCCCCACGTTGTATTATGTTTGCACATCACTGACATAAGATGACTTACAATGCCATTCTGAGACCAAGGGAAGCAGCACTACCCTTCGTGCAGCTCAGCAAGATGGGGTATTTGAATCCAGCAGCACAACACACACACCAAGCAGAACGTAAAGGCAGACAAACATGCAGCAAGCTAGGAAATCGCTGCACTGAAATGCATGGAATGAAACATTCATTTGGTTCCCCCCCCCCCCCCCAATCCATTCCTTCTTCCCTCATTTTCCAGATAAATCTAAATAGTTTCATTCATAGCAAATGAAATCAATAATGCTTTTAGCTCTGAGTACATAAGGAGTCCAGCATAATGCTGCACCCTTTTCATATCCGACTCCCTTTTCATATCCGACTCCTTCCAGAGCTTAACAGGAGTAAAACACAAGCTGGAGCGGGCCCAGCGCAGCCATTTAAGTAAATACATATACATTCACCAGGAAAAGACAGGGGAAGCAACACAGTTTCAGCACTTTCTAGCTGACTGTGTTGGATGTCAAGGAAGCTTGGTGAGGAGCCCCACCACCTATGCAGGGGAAAGGGAATCATTTCTCTACATAGAGCTGTTCTCCCACGCTTTGATGTATGCCACTTGAGCAGCCCAGTCCGCCTCAGTCACCTTTCCACAGCCACAACTCAACAGGCCATTGGGCTCAATACAGGCACTGTGCTTTTTAGGATGCTCAGCCCAGGAACAAATTCTGCTTGGCAGGATGACGAGCATTATTCTCCTGCTGGAGAATACTTAAACTACTTCAACACAAAATGAGAGACATCTTCTGCATGGTAACTGACTACTGAAGCAAAACATTTCTCTCCATTGCTAACTCCTCCAGAAATAAGCTAACAAAGACTAATTCTGAGAAGAACTCTCCTTACAGGGTCTCCCAAACCACAAAATCAAGGACAATTTTCACCTTCCTGGCAGAGCAAAGCCACAGACTGAACTGTCTGCCAAATGCACATTAGTCTGTGTCTACATAACAGCTTTGAATTACTGTAGGTCAGAGCCTTGGGATTTCCAAGGCAAGTTTGTTTTGTTGTTTTCTTTTTCAATTTTTTTTTTTTTTTAAATGACCCTTATTTCACAAAGGTAACAGCAAGGAGAACTGCTGCTAAAGACATCAATTGAAAGTTTTAAATGAAAAGCAGATCCCTGTTCTCCCCAAAGGAGTCTCCACCTGTGGAAAGATCAAAGTGAGATCCACCCACACACTTGGATACTAGCCATTAAAAACATATATGATTTCCTAGTTTGAAGTTTACGCTTTGCTTTCCTATCCATCACTAACTTCAAACCAGATCTCACAGAGCAATTTTCATCAGGTAATGGGAGGAAAAAAAAAAAAAAAAAAACAAAAAAAAAATACAAAGCCACACACACACACAAAAACAAAAATGAAGGCATTTGTGTCCTTCGCTTTCTCTTCCAGCATCTGGTGGTCCTGCAGGGAGGAAAATCAGGGAGCATAACACTGCCAAATTAACAAGTGAGGCATGCTAGGCACTCATTTTTCTGGCTGAGGAGGTAACTTGAAATAATTGTTCTATACTCTATTCCTGTTCACTGATATTTGTTTTCCTTTTCCTCCCCCTCAGAGCTTTAATGGTAAAGGAATTTAACTTCATTTGCAGTGAAGGCAAGAGGAAGTTCTCTGGTATTTGTTAATTTCCAGTATTATGTCCTTCTAATTGAATTTCTGTGCATCTCTGTTCAGTGTTCAGAACATAATTGAAGGAGGTGGTTTGTGCAGTTCAGTCACCAGCATGAGCCAATCTAATGGTATTCAACAGTTCATGACAGCAACAAGCAGCTTTCAAACAAACTTAACATTCCCAGAAGAGCTGGAACCACAGTGTGCCCAGTGCTGACTGTACTGTGGTCAAACACAGAGAGCCACATAAGCTGCACCTGCAGTAGGATGCCCAGTAAAATTGAGGTTTTGACTTTTTCCAATAGAAGCTTAAATCCAACTGCAATCGCATCAGTTCTTCCTACTGACTGTTGAAGTCAGAGCTACAGCTCTCCTTGGAATAACAGAATTCACTAATAACAAAATAAGCTAAGAATTACAAAGATGGAAAAACACATTCCTGTGAGTTTACTACAGATTTACTCCAAACTTCCCCTACCTCCAAAGGCTATTTTGGGATCAAACTCAGTTTAGAAGCCTTCGGAGTGCTGCTTGGCACACTTGCAGATACACCTTAGCAAAATCAAATTGACAGAATCTATTAAATAAAGCAGTGGTTAGAAAAACGATGCTTTGAGTAGGACAAGCAGTCTAAAGCCAAAGAGTAAGATGCTGGCAGGAGGTATTGCAAGCAGGAGATTTTATGTCTTCTATTTCCATTTGAAAAAGAGTTCTCAGCATGGAGATACGCACGCTCAGCCCACACAGACTAATCTGTGCTTTTAAACACAAGCTTCTTGTTAAACAACAACAAAACCAATAACTCGTGGGCACGCTGTATATTTTAATGGAACTGTCCTTGCTGTGTGATATGAAGGCAAATTTGTTTCCCGTCAATCTAATGGACTTTTGAGCTGCAGTTTTTCCACTCCTGTTAATGACTTGTTTCAATGGAGATGAGTGCTCTGTGTACAGCAATGCCATCTTCTGGCACAGTTCCTGTGAGAAAGGGAACTTGCTGAATACCATTAAAAGAAAGCTCCTGTTCTGTGAAAATAGAAACTCAGACTCCACAATAAATCTCAGATTTTCCACTTTCCATTGCTCACACTGTTGGGCTGTAATTGTTGGAGGGACTGAAATTAAGCAGTGAGAACACATGCAGTGCACCGTAGGAGAAAATTCACTCAAGTGGCTCTTAAAGGTGCACCAAGCACACTAACGAGAATGGATGTCACTGCCGATTCCCACAAACGCTCCGAGGTAAAGCATTGTGGCTGAAGTCATGGACATGCACAAAGCTGATGGCAGGGCAACAAAGCAGCTTGGAAAGAATTAGTACTAACAGAACCAGCTTTGCTGATACAGAAAGCATTTCCCCAGGCATATGCAACCACTTCACACATCTA